TTTTTTTTTATATACACAATGAATGCTTCCTCCTACTCTAATTATTATTATTTTATTATTTACAAGACACCCCCCTCCCCCTGTTTTTTGTTTTTTTTTGTGTGGTTTTTTGTTTTTGTTTTTTTTTGTGTTTTTTTTTTTTTTTTTACCATCCCCTCCTAACCTGCAAGATATTTGGGAAATAAAAACAGCTTGGTGTGTAGCATCCGCAGCCACTTGGCGAATGGGTTTACAGTATGGTCTCCTTTACAAAGTGTGGTTTTTTTTTTATTACTATTATTTTTTTTTGGTCTACAAAGTGCATTTGGATTTTTATTATTATTATTATTTTTATTTTTTTGGGAAAAAATTAGAGATTTCAGTCGGTCAAGGGGAGTTTTTGACTCATCTAAGTGCCTCTTAAAATTGTATGTTACTTATTTCCAGAATCTCGAAAAGGGGGGGGGAAGAGAGTGGTTTTCTGATGGGCAAATAATCATAGTCCCACTTAAATGATGAGGTTAGTAAAGGACCAGAGAGTCAAGTAAAGCTCGTTATTCAATCTTGCAACTGTATGTATGCGTATGGAATTTGGAAACTTCATATTTAAAAAATTTTTTAACTGAAAAAATGTTTTGGTGGTTCCCTTTTTTTTTTTTTTTTTACAAATGAGAAATATGATTAAACAGACGCACTCACTGTAGCAGCTCCAACACGGAAGATTGACTATTTATGAGGTCAGCCGTCTGTCCCAGGACTGTCACCCTCCATTCTTAGGGATGGACGTCCCCGCGGAACCCGCATCGCTGGCTCCTCCGCATTTGAGCAATGCTTAACCCCCCGCGCAGCCACGAAACTCCAGATAGGATTTGAAATCCTACACATTTAACCTTCAAAATGGTACTTGTAAAACCATTCTTTCTAAATTATTTTTCCCCCCCCAGGGAATGTGGAAGTAAGCAAAATGTAATTTTTTAAGAAGTTGAAAAAATCAGCATAATTTATTGATTGGCTTCCGCAGTACCATGATGTTGTGTCTGGCATTTTACATCAATAATGTTTTTTAAAAACCCACAAAACAACTTAGTGGACAAATACCAACAATGAGAATTCTTTTGGTTTGGGTTTGCCTTTTTTTTTTTAATTTTTTTTTTTTGCTTTGGCACAGGTTGATTTATTTATCAGAAAAAAACCCTTTTCTGACATTAGAGATTCAAAGTCATTCGTCTTCATGTAGATAAACTCAGAGGCCTCGTGGATGCTGATCTGAATATATTTCCTAGTTTACAGTAGCATTTTTCTCCCCCTTTTAATTTAAGCTGAAATCGTAACGGTCTGGGCAGTGGTGAATGTTCATCCCTATGCTTCCGTTTGTAGTTAACTACCAATTAGAACGTGGATTTCCTAACAAAAATAAAATAAAGAAGTCAAGATCTATGTCTTGCTTTAGTGGATGGTTAAGAATAACTTTGCACATATTCTTTACTCTCCGGACCCCTAAGATCTCCGCTGGTGGTCAAAGTGGCTATTTAATCGATTTTCAAGGTGTCCTTCTGGCTGTATAGACGTGTGGTTGCGTATTAACGGTTCACTGCCCATATTAAAGTGCATTATTGTAACTTTTTGCTCAGGGTCTTTAGAAAATTAGCACAGAAAGTAGCTTATTTTTTAAAAAATAAAGAAATGATGATGGAAGAGAAGTTAACACTGTAACAGAAGAAAAGTGTGATCGACATTATATATTTAGCAAGTGTAGTTATCATCTTCTATGGAGCTCCAATCTCGACTTTTCATATTTCTCTTACATTTTGGGCATTTACCACTAACCAGACCAAACCTTGATAAGGCTGAGATCTTACTAATACACTTATACAGGTAAAATATTGATACTTATAAATTTTGTTCTTTGACAGAACAATATATGGTACTATATAGATCTACTTTATTAAGTAGACGGATTATAACTCAGTTCTCCTACGTGCCTTATGATCTAACTTGGAAGTAAGTTTGTGAAAAAATCAGGATATAATACGTGTTGTTTGTTAAATTAACTGTTTTAAGCCCTTTGACACCTCACTAGTTTTGTACTGTTTTACCTCTTATTTCTGAAACTCTTTTTATGGTGTATCCTGTTAGAGGGACGAACCTGTCATAGAAAGCGGTGTGCACTCTTTCAAATATAGTTGATAAATTCAATAATCTTATATATTGAGCTTCGTGATTATAGTACAGTAAGTGGTCTAGCAAAACTGTCCATGTTTCTTTGTTTATTGATAAATGCATTGTATAGAAACTATTTCCCCCTAAATATTTATGGACCAAACAATTGTGATTTATCCTATTAAATTTGTGTGAATAAACCATTTTGAATCTAAGGAGTTTTATTTCCCAGCAGTTTTATTTAAGGTTTAACTGGACCAGTGTGCTTCCAATTATCTATATGTAAAAGCTATTAAAAGGGTAATACAAAAAAATTTTTAAATATTCAAACATACAGATAGCTTTGAGATTTCCAAACTTCTGATTCATTTGAAATGTCCACACCATCGCCTAGGCTATGTAATTCAACCTAGAGTTGCCTTTAGGTCTATTTTCTTAGAATAAAAGTAATGCCCCATGGATTTGACTCAGCCCAAATTTTAGAATTTAAAAAAAAAAAAAAGAGAGAGAGAGAACAGATAAAGTATTTGCATGAAAAGAAACCTTAAGTATGATTAAGATTTAATGTGAGGTCTCTTGAGCACCAGTGGATATTTGTAAACCTAAATAGAGATTGCAGACCCCTGCAAGCCGAGTTGCTCTGTAGTTAATAAATTGTCACTATGATTTTTTTCAGGGAGAACAAATCTTGGGGCATTACAGCCAAACATCCCGACGTTTGAAAATTCCCTAAAGTATTAAAAGAAGGGGAAAGTTTGATCGGATATCCACAGCAGTGAAGACAAAGACAATATTAGGTCATGATAACCACACAATCTTAAAATCCATTGAGCCAAAAAAGACACAAAAAAAGAGCGAGCGAGAGAGACTTAAATGTCATTTACTGATCGTTGGCAACAACTCTGTTCTTTATGGCGTCTCACACAAACGGAGGCTTAACATTATGTGGCTTAAAACCAAACGAGATAAACCGTGTCTAGACAGAGCAACCGGGCCGCAATGTGCCCACCCCACATTCAAAGCAAAATTATTACTGGAAAAAAAAACGAAGCCCACACATTTATCAAGCACAGTAGTCGTTACGTCCCAAACCTTCATCTCACCTGCTTGCTAATGTGTATTATTGGTCCTCCCCGTTCGTGGCATCTTCCAGTTGTAAATTCAGAGCCAAGCCGCGGCCCCCCGGAGAGCATAGGGATCAGACCCCCGTGATTTTAGTATCATGTTTTCTTCCTTCCTTTCGCAACAGGACTCTGCATGCACCTCCGCGCCTGTCACTCCCAGTGTGCATCTCTGTGTGACGACTCCTCTTTGCTGTTCCTTGTATGATAAATAGCTTTCATGAATAAACATTTCGTTCGATGCAAGCATAGTTAACTTTATGTTAAAGACACACCGTTGAAGTTGATTTTGGACGCGGCCTTGAGGGCCAGCGCGATGCTTTTCCGGCTTGTTGGCCGTAGGAGGTTGGATTCCGGGATACAGTTGCTTCCTTGGTTTTGAACTTTTCACGACTTCTTATTGTATCCGTTGAAATGTATTACAAATAAAAATAAAAGTAATAAAAACAAGGAGAACCCTAATTACAACAAAAATAAACTTAGAATAAACGGCGTAAAAGTTATGCAACTTTTTTTAGATGATTAGGGGGAAAGTCACAGACCCTCTGTAAGTTTACACGTTCGCTATGCAATGAGCAAATTGACCCAAGGACACAAATATATCCTGAACTCTGCCAAGGCCCGCGCTTTGCCGGGTTCCAATGACCGATGACTTTACGAATAAAAGAGCAAGTGGAAAGAGAAACACGTCTTTAGGAACGAGGTGTTTTGTGTTTTTAATTGTTAAAGGGAATATTTCAAGAAAGGATTTTTTAACGATTCCTATTTAGCTGTGTATCCAAAGCAGATGTTACACGAGTTAGCATATAACTTGCCAGAAGGTTTTTCATGATGATGAATTTTTATTATATACAAATGAACCCTATGTAAATGATGTAACTTTTATGAATGACAGACATTAAATATTTCACTGACATGTACTCTCAGAACTTGGAATGTTTTCTTAAATGCTTTCACTTCCCGAATAGTCAAAAAACCCAAGAAGAAAAAAAATGAGAGAGCAAGTCACTGATAACAAAACAACAGCCACGGGAAACACGCCACGGCAAGCTGGCTGCTCCGAGTGACCCCGAAGCGTGCCGCTCTGCCGGTTACCCCAAAGTTTATGCCTCATCGGAAGTCCGGCCGTGGTGTTAGCAACTCAAATAGATTTTCCAGCACGTTCCCAGCCAGCGGGTTGGACTCCCCGGGCTTCTGTCGCCGGTGGCAGTTTTGTTTAGACATATTTTGGAACCTCGCTTGGTCCCACAGACCGTCGGGTATTTGTCTGGTGTGTGACATGCGGGAAGCGACCGAAGGGAAAGGACCTCCCCGAACATGGACACCTGAAAAAAAAATATGAATTCGAAATGGGCACATTTTTAAAAAGCGAAAGGACCCAGCGCTCATCGTGTGCGTGTCAAGAGCGCAGAGCAGGTGGCAGAGCCCAAGGCCTGTCCCGTGACATCCAGGCAGCTGCCTGCTTCGGCCTTGTCACGGGCAAGGCTGGGGGGCTCCTTGGTAGAAATCGGGGCGCCGCGTTTTCACAGCTCCTGCCTCCCGGAGGCCCGGCTTAGTCTAACTTCTGGCAAATTGATCTTGGGCAAAAAAATAAAAGAAATCGCTTTGGTTTCGTAGCCACCTTCACACCAACGTACAGAGCGGGCGGGTTTTCTCGGACCCCAAACAGGCATAAAACTCCCCAATAAAGCGCCCAAAGCAAACGCTTCTAAGACCGCGGTGGTTCTTGGTCACCCAGGGAAAGGTGGCTTTCCGTGACAACACCCCGGGGAGCCTTCGCCATAGCCTCTCCTTGGGGTCCCAGCCGTCCCCAAGCCACATGGAAGTGCCATCTCGCTCCCGGTCCCGGTGGCTGGCGGGGTGCCCCGTGGGAGGTGTCAGAGGGGGACACCCTGGGATGGAAACGAGCCGTCGGGCATCCTGGGCTCTGAAGGAAACGCCTGTGGGTGATCCCGCTGTTATGAAAGATCCATATAAACACCTCACTGTGTGCGGAGTTTGCTTATTTAATTGTCACTATGCTGGGAACAGAGGAAGCTCTATATGCAGAGTTTGTGAACTTTCCCTGGTCCCAGACGCCCGGGGTTAAATGAGGACACTGGGACTTAGTCCCAATTGAAGAAACGAGGTATTTTCCTTGAAACCACACGTCTGGATAAACTCCGGATTGGCCTTTTGGATCCAGTTTATATTTTTAGTAATTGGGAACCGACTCTGAATATTTAAGTAAATAAAAACCCTCCGATGCAAAAACCACAGTTCTTGGCTCGACGGCCAAAGTCAAAATAGGAAGTTATTTACTTATTTTTTGGGGGGGTGCCACTGACTTGGAAACATTTTTCACCTACCTATTCTGCCCTTAGAGTGCTGTTTCTCAGAATATTACTACAGACCTAATTTTCAAAATAAATTCTAATTCTAAGTCACTATACTATTTTGAATAGGGGCCCTGTGGGGACATTTCCTCCCCCCCCACCTGTTTGCATAGCAAAAACCACACAGGCTCAGACCTGGGCATGGTAGTCAAGGAAACATCGATGATATATGATGCAAGGAGCAAGGTAACCACAATTGAATTTCTTTTTTAACTGTATGAAAGATGGATATTTTTATCTAACATCACTCCCTCCTTCCAACATTTCTTTGTGAATATTAACATAGTAAATCCCCCCCTTCTCCTGCATCACAGCCACACATTTTCTTCCCTGGGAGAATTCATTCTGGCTTCTTTGCACTACATTTATCTTGTGCCGAAATAACAGACATCGGGCAAGAATAAAGGTCCAGGTATCTGCCATCATGTGGAAAGTTCCGGACGTGCGTTTCTGCGCACTTTCCCCTCGCGTTTAGGATCGCCAGGAACATTTTTCCCCCCCGTGGAGCTTCGTGTTTACATCTTGCATGATCTTATAAATTAATCTGAAGAGCGACTGGGTAAATTCTGTGCTAATGTGAAAATAAAATTTGCTACAAACAAGACGCTCAAGTCTCCATGGCCTCGTATTATGTATGAATATATTGTTTTCTGTACTTTTCCCCGGGAGCCAGAAAATGCGAACCTCAAGGGGTATTTAAACGGTGATTTGTGACAAATACACAAAGATGAAGAAACCCAAAGGTGAGGCTGGTGTGACTTAACCGGCCTCTCCCTCTCCCGTTTACGAAGCAGCATCGCGAAGGGCTCCCCGCCTGCACTGTGGCATCCCTTAAAGTTATATTTATCATTCAGTGAACTTCAACCCTGTAGAATAAGGGCCCTTTCTGAAACGTGAAGCACCTGGATTCCACAGAAAGAGCATTTTTTTTTCCAGAAGGAAAATATAGTGAAAACTCTCAGTGCTGTTCCCATCACACGATCGACCAACACCACTTTCCTTCCAGGAAAGCAGGATTTCTGGATTTTTTCATGTCAGTCTTGGACAGGACCAAATGTCCTGCAAGGTACTTTCGTGTAACTAACTCCCGGATGCACTTTCAGATGATCCCTGGCCTGTGGAGGTCCCCATCCTGCCCCTTCCCACTATATATATATATATATTTTTTTTAAACTTTTTTGCCAGGGCCACGTCCCTGTCCTTCCCTTACTCACCGTGAGGATGTGCATCGCCCAGGAGAGGCTGGGCCCACCCCCTGCTGGAATGCAGGCACCAGGCGGTGGCTTTTGTGATGCCCTTGGCATGACTCAGCCCCTTTCATTCCCAATCGGGTCACCAGTAACGAGATCCTGGGGCCTTTCCCCAGGGTCGCCCCTGACGGTAGAGTCAAGCTCACTGCCATCTGGGCCCATCAGAGGGACCGTCGGAAGAGGGGAGGCGACAGCCGAAACCCTGAGCGGATGCTGGAGGAGTTAGGCGACAGCTGCCTTCAGGCAAGGTTAGAACGTAGGGTTGCTGTGACCCAAGAGCACGTGTAATGTGGCCTGGTTATGGTTCC